TCATATCCTTTGCCCACTAAAAGTTTATTTTCTTCAATGAATTTTTTTTCAAAGAATGAACGTTTGGATTTATCAGTTTTCTTTGCTATTTGCATATTTTCTGTTGTACTGATTTCCTTTTTTATGTTTATTATTTCCTTTCTTCTATTTATTTGAAGTTTATTTTGCTGGTTTTTTCTAGTTTCATAAGGTAGAAGCTTAGAGCATTGATTTTTAAACTTTTTTTCTTCTAATGTAAGCATTAAAGTTGTTAATTTCTGTCTAGGTACCTCTTTAACTGTATCCACATATTTCTTTCTATCTATCTATCTATCTATCTATCTATCTATCTATCTCTATCCAATCTATTTAGTTCAATGCATTTTCTAATTTCCCAAAATATTTTCTGGCCTTATCCATAGGTTATTTTAAAGTTCATTGTTTAATTTTCAAATATTTGTGAATTTTGTAGATTTTTTTCTTCTTGTTTTTTAATGTAGTTCCATTGTGGTCTGGTCAGAGAACATACTCTGTATAGGGTTTGAATATCTTTAAATTTATTGAAACGTATTTTATGGCCAATTATGTGCCCTCTGTGTCCTCTAAGATAAATGTTCTATTTTCACTTACAAGGAGTGTGTGTTTCATAGTTGGCTGTGTGGAGTATTCCATAAATATCAATTAAGTTTGATTGATTGATGGTGTTGTTCAAGACCTCCATATACTTTCTAACTTTTGTGCCCTTTTGTTCTATCAACTACTGAGAGAGGGGTATTAAAAATCTCAGACTATACTTTTGTATTTGTGTGGTTTTTCTTTCAGTTCTGTCAGTTTTTTCTTTGTGTATTTTCAAACTTTGTTATTAGGTGCACATACATTGACTATTGTAAATATTCTTGATCAATTGACCCTTTTTTATGATGAAATATTTCCCTTTAATCTGGAAATATTTCTTTTTTTTTTTTTTTTTTTTTTTGAGACGGAGTCTCGCTGTGTCACCCAGGCTGGAGTGCAGTGGCACTATCTCGGCTCACTACAAGCTCCGCCTCCCGGGTTTACGCCATTCTCCTGCCTCAGCCTCCGAGTAGCTGGGACTACAGGCGCCCGCCACCACGCCCGGCTAGTTTTTTGTATTTTTAGTAGAGACGGGGTTTCACCATGTTAGCCAGGATGGTCTCGATCTCCTGACCTCGTGATCCACCCGCCTCGGCCTCCCAAAGTGCTGGGATTACAGGCTTGAGCCACCGCGCCCGGCCCTTAATCTGGAAATATTTCTTATCATGAAGTCTACTTTGTCTGATATCAAAGTAGCCACTCTAGCTTTATAATTAATATTTGCCTGGTATATCTTCTTCTGTTCTTTAACTTTTACCTATATGTATCTTTGTATTAAAAAACTAAGCCTTGTAAAAAACAAATAGTTGGATGTTGCTTTTCTACCAGGTATAATAGTATCTTTTAATAGATGATTTTGGTCCTATTATACTTTTCTACCAAGTATAACGGTATCTCTTAATAGATGATTTTGGTCCATTTTTACGTAATACAATTCTTAATGTGGCTGTGTTAAATCAGTTAACTATTGACTTATTGGTTTCATTTTTTCTTTGGTTTTGTTTTCCTTTCTCTCTCCCTTCTTTTGAATTAAAAAATTTATTATTTCATTTTATTTTCACTATTGTCTTATTAGCTATAACTTTTTTAATAGTTTGTTCTAGGGTTGATATAATACATCTTTTATTAATTGTTTTCTTCTATAATGTAGAATCTGCCTTTAAATCTGCCTAATGGGCTTTTTGTTTTAGATATTGGGGTGTTTTTTAGCTTTAGATGGCTGATTTGTTTCTTTTTCTGTTTTTTGTTTTTGTTTTTGTTTTTGTTTTTTGAGATGGAGTTTCACTCTTGTTGCCCAGGCCGGAGTGCAATGGTGTGATCTTGGCTCACTGCAACCTCTGCCTCCCAGGTTCAAGCGATTCTTCTGCCTCAGTCTCCCAAGTAGTTGGGATTATAGGTGCCCGCCACCACGCCTGGCTATTTTTTTCTATTTTTAGTAGAGACGGGGTTTTACTATATTGGCCAGGCTGGTCTTGAACGCCTGACCTCTCAGGTGATCCACCTGCCTCAGCCTCCCAAAGTTCTGGGATTACAGGCATGAGCCACTGTGCCTGGCCTGTTTCTTTTAATGATTTCCATTTACTTATTTATTATGTTCGTGTTTTCCCTTAATTGCTTGAATAAATCTATAATCGTTGTTTTAACGCCCTTGTTTGCTAATTCCATCTTTTTCATTTCTAGATCTGCTTCTATTGTCTGATTTTCCCTTTCATTATGGGTTACATTTCTTGTTTATGGCATGTCTAATAATTTTGACTGGATTCTGGCTATTGCGAACATTCCATTGTTAGCCTAAACTTTCTTGTGTTTCTTTACAAATTATTGATTTTTGCTCTTGCAATAGATTAAATTAATTTCAGATCAGCTTTATCCCTTTGAGGCTTTTTTAGAAAGAGTCTAGAGTATCTTTTGCTCTAGGACTAGTTTAGCCCTACTAGTAAGACATACTCTTTCCAGGATTTCACCTGAATGCAGCAAGTACTCAATGAGGTCTTTCCATTCTGGCTGAGCTGAACTCAAATATCTCCCAGCCCTGTGCAAGCTCTGGTAGTTGCTCAGTTTATAGTTCCCCGTAATTTATCTTTCCTTATCATTATTATTTCCCAGGGTTTATGGAGTTTCACCTTAAACATGTGCATTTTATTATTTAGCCAAAGATTCAAGAGGATCCTCTGCAGATTTCTGGAACTTACTCTGTGTTGCTCTTTCATTCTGCTACTGTGTCTCACAAGTTCCATCCAGATGCCTCAGCCTTCCTGAACTCCAGTCTCTGACTTTTTGAGTCAATGAGACTGCCATACTCTGAATTCCCCTTTCCTGCAACTGGTCCAGAAAATGCATTGAAATAAAAGGCTAGGGCTATGGTAGGGCTCACCTCACTTGTTTCTCTTCTCCCTGAGATCTCATGCCTGAAATGCCTGTTGTTCAATAACCGAAAATAACTATTTCAGATATTAATATTTTTGTTTAATTTTCTAGTTGCTGACACTTGGTGGACTAGATGTGCACTAGTTACTTCGTTCTGACCATAAACAGTCTTATTAAAATTTAATTTTATGCTGTTTTTCATGAACACTCGTTTCCAGTCAATTTTCAGCTGATCCCTGTATACAATTTGATGTTCTTCAGTGTATTTAGACCTTTCAGGCCTTCCTCAAATGCATTTTCCCCTTTCTTTCTATGCCTCACTCCATACAAAAGCTATTTCAAACTCACCTTTTCCAGAAAACCTCCTATGATTAATCCATTCACCCTCTTTATTCACCTGCCCTTTGTTGTAATTTGTACTTCGTTTCTACTACATTAAATTGCACTTTTGACCATGTAGTTTTGTTAAGTTTTTGGCAGTTATTTTATGTGTGACTGTTTTGCTGATGATTATAAGCAGAAGCTTATAAATAGAAAAAACCTGTCTTTCATTTATTCCCTTTGTTGCAAACCCACCTAATTCAACTGGCTGTTCCCAAGGTAAATATTGGTGACCCTCTATAGTTTGGTGGAGAGGCATTGTATTACGAAACAAACGAAGCTAAATATCAGAGCTCTCATGTGATGGACCACTTCCAAGGCCCTGGGAGGGTCCCCAGCCATCTGTTTACATGGTAGATGGTTTTATAAATTTTGCCAAGGACAGATTTGAACCACAATGGAATAAGGCACTCTCTCTTTCCATTATGAATTTGTTTCAGCCAGTCTCCCCTTTCAGGTGGTGGGGAGTGACCATAAGCATTTTGGGGATCTAGTTAAGGAAAGTTGAGTTGGTGATACATTTAGCTGCGGTTTAGTGGGAGGTATTTATGTGGTTTGCAGACATTTCCATGTATAGTTAACTTATTCCTAGCTGTCCTGTGCAGGAATATTATTACCACCCACGGGGCAAATTTACCGAGTGATATAACAGGAAGATACGGAACCAGAGCACCTATGAACATGAACCTATGCTATGGTACCCAGCACTGGATCCTTACAGGGAGAGGGGAAGAAACAAGGTTTTAATTGTGCGAAGCCAGAAACTAATCTCTGGAAGTGTCTTTCCATCAAGACATAAACAATTCTAAGTGGAGGATTCTGTTCTCATCCATTTCTAGTAAAGGACATTCTGTCAGGAGTGTGCTTTATATGCAGTGTATACAATTATAAACATTCCATGATGTTTTCTTTTGTGAAGATATTATGCAAAACTAAATTCATCAGAATTTTTCTGTTTATAGTGCACAACCTTGTGGAAGAACTACAAAGAGTGAACTTGTCTATTGAAGTTGCATGTTTTATGAATCTTAAAAATTAACATGGAAAAAATTTTGATCAACCAAGTTAGAGGAAGCACTGAATTATTTTATTCTCTCTGTAGAAACTATTACAACATGGTGGTGACGTGAAGAGGCCAGCAAGGAGGATGCAGCAAAAAAGTAAGAAAATACATTACACAGCCATATCAACCATTAATTAATAGAAATATTATGTTATTTGGGGGATTTTTGTGGTATTTGTAAACTTTTCAAGATTTGAAGTCATTGGCCGGGCATGGTGGCTCATGCCTGTAATCCCAGCACTTTGGGAGGGCACAGCAGGTGAATCACCTGAGGTCAGGAGTTCAAGATCAGCCACCAACATGGTGAAACCCCGTCTCTACTAAAAATACAAAAATTATCCAGGCATGGTGGTGCATGCCTGTAATTCCAGCTACTCGGGAGGCTAAGGCAGGCGAATCGCTTGAACCCTGGAGGCAGAGGTTGCAGTGAGCTGAGATCGCGCCACTGCACTCCAGCCTGGGAGACAAAGTGAGACTCCATCTCAAAAAAAAAAAAAAAAAAAAAAAAAAATTGAAGTCAATTTTTTCTCATTCTGTATTCATTTTCATCGCTAATTTTGTATTTATAATTTTTAATACATCTTTTTCAGAGAAGACCCTGAAGGTATGTAAGTCTCAGGCCCCACAAATTTGGATCCAACCTTGAGTAGGTGAGGATATTGGCTCTTCCCCCTTCTTAACCTTGTTATCGGGTGATATGGTTTGGCTGTGTCCCCACCCAAACCTCATCTTGAATTGCAGCTCCCATAATTCCTACATATTGTGGGAGGGACCTGGTGGGAGATAATTGAATCATGGGGCGGTTCCCCCATACTGTTCTCGTGGTAGTAAATACGTCTCACAAGATCTGATGATTTTATAAGGGGTTTCCCCTTTCACTTGGCTCTCATTTTCTGTGTTGTCTGCTACTTTGGTAAATATTAACTAACCATCCCTGGAGTACGCAGTCCCAATTACAGCAAGTGATCATCCCTTGGGTGCAGATTACATCTAAATAACATATACAAGCAAATCACACTGCCAATGCTGAAGTGTTTCAAAGTAAATTCAGACATAAACATAAACAAAGTAAACAGAGAATATAACTTATGTATCTCTTCTGTTACAGTTGCTTTTTCATTGAGTTCTGTGGAGCTCAGATTCCTGTGGAGGGTAGCAGAAGGGAAACTTCAATTACAGCACATATGGTCTGATCTGTTCTACATATTAAAGTTCATACTATTTTCTTTGTGATAAATGAAGGGTGTTCTGCTGCATCTGAAACTAGTGCTCTAGCACTAACCACCTGTCTCTATAACACGTATCCACTCAAAGTTACAATGAAAGCCCAAAGATGTGCTTGAGTTAGCTTATGTCAATGAAAATATTGCTAGAGACTTGGTGTAGATCTGCTGAGCTGCGTGTGAAAACTACAGTGTAATCTGATCCTCCTCTCCCTCTTTCTTTTCACCACCATTGTTGTCAATATATATTCCTTCCACATTTTACCCAAGAAAACTTAGTATACTGGGGTCACATTCTCCATAACCAAGTTGCCAAACAGAAAGACTTCTGGAATAGAAGACGTCTCCTAACTTGGGGAAGAGTGCTTAGAGGGGAAGAGATGAGGGATGGTCAGAGCTAGGATGTATTTCATCTTGGTCTGCAGTGGACGTTTATTATCTGCCAAGACCCGTTCTTTCTGGCACGGATATCCTTTCACTTAGGAACATCCCCCCAATGATGAGGCTCTATAAGGGCTTCTCTCATTTTCCCTTGGACTGTGAGATGACCTAATACTCCAAGATATTAACCAGGTGCTTGCTTGCTTGCTTTCTCCTTCCTTCCTTCCTTCCTTCCTTTTTCTTTTCTTTTCTTTTCTTTTCTTTTCTTTTTTTTTCTTCAGATGGAGTTTTGCTCTTGTTGCCCAGGCTGGAGTGCAATGGTGCAACCTCAACTCACTGCAACCTCTGCCTCCTGGGTTCAAGCGATTCTCCTGTCTTAATCTCCCGAGTAGCTGGGATCACAGGCATGCACCACTACGCCTGGCTAATTTTGTATTTTTAGTAGAGACGGGATTTCTCCATGTTGGTCAAGCTGGTCTCGAAGTCTCCACCTCAGGTGACCCGCCCACCTCTGCCTCCCAAAGTGCTGGGATTACAGGAGTGAGCCACTGCGCTTGGCCTAACCGGGTGCTTTCAAAGGTGTTTTGAACCAAGAAGCAAACCCTGCCCTGTTGGATGCAAAGCTGGGAACATGTGAGATGGGAACTGCTGGCATCCCTGCCTCCAGCACTGAGAGGAAAGCCAGCCGGAGAGCATAGAGCTGCCTGCAGCAAGCAGGAAAAAAGGGTGAGGAGAGAGTGTCCCGAGAGCCTCCAGCTTCTGGCTCTAGTGGCCACTGATGTCCAACCCTGTTTCTGCCCTTCTTGTTTTGGTTACAGGAGCCCACAAATCCTCTCTATCATTGGTGCTTATTAGAATTGAATTTCTGTCATTTTTTTAAAACCAAGAATGTACAAAACAATGCACTGGCTACGGCAGCAAAATTTTAGAGCCTGATAAAAGAAAAGAAATAGAAACCACAAGAAGAATGGAGGAAATCTCCAGTAATTCACAGGAAATAAAATAACCAGGGAGAATAAAACTTTGCAGTCTTGGGTGTCTACAGAGGTGGTACTGAAACAAGTGACCTTGAGATCACAGCTCAGGAAAGCCCATGTGACTGTGCTGGTTCTCTGAGCCCAGGGAGGTGGGATGGCAGCAATGGAACAGCATTCCTTTCTCAAAAGACAGACCTGGGAGGTAGTGGAGTGGAGGAGACCATGGAAGGTGAGAGCTCCTGCATGAAAATCCACAAACCATGAGTAGAGAGAGTAATGGAGAAGATAAGGAGAGAGAGGGAAGGGGGACTGTGGCCTGCACACGAGGTTGTGCAGCCAGATGTAAGGCCTGGAAGCCACGCTCCTGAGAATCACAGTGCACATGCTGGGTTGGGGCAGAGAGCCACGTGCAGCTCACTGGCAGGCAGAATCAGGGGCTGGAGGCATAGAAAGCCAAGAGCCAGGCAGCAGCAACTGGCTGACCCTGGTAGGCAGTTCCAGGAGTGGGCATGTCTGGGCGCAGGGATTGGAAGCAAAATTGATTGACTCAGGAGTAGACAAATATGGGTTCAAGGTCAATCAAAGAGCAGAAACCAGGTGACACAAGTGAGTCAAATCTAGAAAGAGAGTTGTAAAAGTGGGCAGACACAGGTAGAGGGAGGACCTAGGAACAGAGGCTAGAAACCAGAAGGGGTCTGCTGTGGTGGATGGACAAGGGGCAGGAGCCAACCGACACAAAGATGCGCATAGAATTTCACCAGATGGCTGTCTGCTGAGCTGTGGAGCTGTGGCTTTTCTTCCTGCTTGTCCACAAGCGGGTGACTCTGCCCTCGGGGCTCAAAGGCATGAGCAGGCCTTCTGATGACACATTTGACAACGCTGGCACAGAGGCAAGATTGAGTGGGGATAGCTGGAAATTTCCTTCTCCTAGACCCTGGGTGTCTTATAAATTCTCCTCATGTTGACAATTTCGTCTTTCATAGTTTAAAGAAAGAAATGAGAGGGACTGCTACCCTGCACCTAAGCACAGGGGTCATGCGCTGCAGAAGTGGAAGTGACAGGGACCCTGAGAGGAGCCATCTTTTGCAAAGTTGGTGGCATCCGGGGCTCAGGCAGAACCCATTCTGAAAGCAGGGTTCAGACGTGTTCGGAAAAGAGACTCTCAATGAGAAGACAGCTCAAGAGGAAAGGGAGGCTAACTGGGGCTAACTGTATTTTGTTAACAGATGATAGCAAGAAGGCAGAACTCGGGCTGTGTGTGGTGGCTCACTGCTGTAATCCCAGCATTTTGGGAGGTTGAGGCAGGTGGATCACCTTAGGTCAGGAGTTCAAGACCAGCCTGGCCAACACAGCAAAATCCTTTCTCTACTAAAAATACAAAAAAATTAGCTGGGTGTGGTGATGTACGCCTGTAGTCCCAGCTACTCAGGAGGCTGAGGCAGGAGAATTGCTTGAATCTGGGAGACGGAGGTTGCAGTGAGCCGAGATCACGCCACTGCACTCCAGCCTGGGCAACAGAGCGAGACTCTGTCTCAAAACAAAACAGGCAGAACTCCTCAAATTGTACTTTACTTCCCAATTCTCAGTCAGGAAGACCCATCTTCAGACTGGAAAGGGCAGAATTAGTGCTGGTTAGAGGGAACCAAAGCCATATAGAATTGCTCTGAGCAGACTTCACACACCCATTAAATACCCCCCACAGAATTTAGCCCTTGCAAAGGGTTCCTCAGATATTTCTGAGATTCCCCCAGGGTGACAGGCTGTGAATGCTTGTTCACCACCCCAAATCATCCCCTGATGCTAATGACACTCAGGAGACGGACCCTTTGCAGGGCATAGCTAGCCAGCTCTGCTGCTGCCACCACCTGGGATGAGGGATGCTGGGTTTCCCTTTGCCTTCCATCCTAAGCACAGGACACAGCATCCCCTGAGTCCCCAGAGCACAATCCTCTTTCTAATATACCAGCTGCACAAGTGCAGGAATTTTTGCATCCCACCCACACCTCCACCTATGTAACCCCAAGGTCTAGAACAGTTTTTGGTAGACAGTAGGAGCTCAGTAAATCTCTGACTTCTAACAAGTGTTTAATAAACAATCAAAAGTGAAAGAAAGGGCTGGGCAAGGTGGTTCATGCCTGTAATCCCAACACTTTGGGAAAACAAGGGGAGAGGATTGCTCGAACCTGGGAGTTCGAGACCAGCCTGGGCAACATAGCGAGATGCTATCTCTATTTTACTTTTTAAAAAGTGAAAGAAAGAACAAGGCAGAGAATAACTAACAACACTTAAAAGATGTTGTGAATTTCAGGATCCTCAGACTCAGATTTGGAAATGCCCAGTGACGAAAAGGTACCCACCTTAAGCAGTCTGATGGCTTGGCATGCAGAAGATGTCTTTGTGGGCAGAAAAAGCTTCTCTGGGCTGAAAAAAATAGAAAAATGTGTCCCCTCTCCCCACCCGCAAGGCAGGCAGATACCTTAGAAGACAGAGATCCCAGTTGGTGGGCAGGTCCTTCTCAGGTAAGGGTTTGGTTAGTAGGTGGTACCTTTGTGTTGAAAAAAAGACATGCCTTTCTCCCAGCAAGGGCAGCCCCCAGCAGGGTGCACAGTTTGGCCGCAGTCTGTTGGACAAAGCTGCACTGTCTTCCTACAGGGCTCCTATCCTGTCATGTGGCATGAGCCAGCACAACTGCACGCAGTCTAAGTGCCCTCAAATCAGGTCTACTCTGCCTGGAATCCCAGCCCCACCCCTCCCAAGACCCAGAAAGGGGAAGGGATTCTCAGGCTGCCTCCCTGCACTTATTTCCTACCCAACACCTGCTCCTCCCTGGTGACCAATGATGGGACATCTATTCCCCCAGGAAACCCGGCCCTCACTCCAGGCCTATGATCTCATCCTGTGGCACCCAGTACAACAGTCCCATCAGAACACAATAGTCTCAAGGGCTTTGGGGTCATTATACTTCAATAATGCCACTTGAAGAGCAGAAACTGTCCATTGAACACACTTAGTTCTCTTTCATAGACTGTCTTCTAGGGAGAGGTGAATATTCTGCCTGAATGTCCTTCTGTAGTCCTCTGGGCTGGCCGCTCTTGCAAACAATTGCTCTGGCAAAAAACATTCTCCACTCTGCAAGGATAAGCAAACACTGTAATTCACTACATTCCTACCGAGTTAAGAAATATTTCACTCCTTCCTGGAAAGCAAGAAAATTATAGAGACTTAGCTCAGGCTTGACCATATTCAAAAACATACACGACCAAAACAAAACGTTTATCATCCAAACCTAAAATCATCATCCAGAATAATGATGACTTTATAATTGTTCCAAAGAGCACACTGGGCACTTGTTCCAGGCATACGTATGTAACAAAAAGACCCATGAAGTGTGACCCAAGGGCTGACTGTCCAGATGAATTCTGTGATGGTTAATATTAGGTGTCGATTTGATGGGATTGAGGGATGCCTAGATGGCTGGTGAAGCACTTTTTCTGGGTGTGTCTGTGAGGGTGTTTCTAGAGAAGACTGACATATGAGTCAGTGGACTGGGAGAGGAAGACCCGCCTTTACTGTGGATGGGCACTGTCTGGTCGGCTGCCAGCACGGCAGAACAAAGCAGGCAGAAGAAAGCAGGCAGAAGGGGCACGCAGCTTGCTGGGGCTTTCTCTTTCTCT